TCCCTCAGCAATGCATTTTTAGACCGGCATCCACGGATGCAGCAAGGCGTCCGTAACGGGACTTTAAATAACAGAGCACAAGGCAACTGTGGCAGGAATCCTCTGGGCTTTTGGGCTAGCGTGAGTGCTGCTGCCTTACAAAGGACCCATGATAGCTTCATCCAGTGATAATGAAGTAGAAGAGGATGTAAGGAGGCGGCTATTGACTGGCTCGGGTCTTCCCTGCTCTGAGCCTGGGCGTCAGAAGCTGCCGCCGCTGCGATTCCAGCGTCGGTATCCATAGCACGAGCTTTTGAGCAGATCAGGTTCAAGTATTTTTGCAGGGTTGTGCTGTCTACTCGCTAGCTCGTGCCTGCCAGCGGAGCTGCAGCGGGGATAAATTATGATGTCAAAACAGAGAGATGTTGTCACACAACCATCTCCCCTTCTGGGGTCAAGGTTCTGCTTTATAGCTTGGAAACCCATTAGTCCATTTGAAAGCATATGGCCAAGAACGGACAGGAAAAAAAAAAAAAGAAAAAAAAAAAAAGTCTTGTGTGTTTGGGTCGGAGCTGCAGACAAAAGGCTCTTTGTGCTAAGAGCTGACAATGACAAATAAAGAGGAACCTGTTGATCTAGGGGAGAAATGGAGGATTATGAAAAGATCACATGGTGAGAAAAAGACCTTGGCTGTTTGTCTGGATGTCAGTCTTGCCTGTCGTTAAAATGCTTTCTGCAGCTACGGCATATTTGTTAATAGAAGTACTGTCCCCTGCTCGCGTGGGTTTGGTTTGGTTTTTTTCCCAGCCTGCAGAATGCTACCTGTGCCTCAATGTTCCACCCTCAGGAGGGCGCGTCGGAGAGGTGATATGCTCTTAACTGGACCCTTGCCATGCGACAGGCGTTACGCAGGATAATTAACGTTTGCAAATATCTCTGATAGGACTGTGAGCACTAGGAAGGCCAAAAAAGGGGGTCGGTCCAGCCACGATGCATAAACGCAGGACACAAAGAAAACCCAGTAAGAAACCCTCTATAATTCAACAAAGTTATTGGAAGTTAACCAAAAACTATGTCTAATGCTAATAATAAGCATATTTCCCAAAGGTAACATTTGATTTCTATCCAAAGCCAAACATATTTGAAGCTTTGCCTGAACGGCGTTGTATAGCAGATTAACTGGGACGGTTTAATCTGCGAATAACTTTGCAAAGCCTTCAGCCAACTCCGAAGAAACAGCAACAGTCTTGACAAGACTGGGCTACAAAACACTTCACAGATAATGTGGTTTTTTTCACAGTAAGTCTGGAGAAAATAGAGGACGGCTTTGGTTTCGTGGCATGCACATCTGGCAAGGGTGTATTTCTGATCGGGGCGCAGAGAACACGCTGAGCAGAAATATTTATATTGAACATTGATGGGCTGCCTAAAATGACCTCCAGAGTCTATGAAGTGCACCATAGATTTTTAAAAAATCTATTATAGCCCATTACGTTCTGGAATGTATCTGAGTCCATCATCGCAGAGAGTGCCAGCAACTCTCTGCATTTGCTGTGGTGAAGGAGACCTATGGAAACGTGTTTAATTCAGCATAAAAAGGGGGTGGGGAAGAAATGACAACAGAATGCTTTTTCTCTGGTTTTACAGAATCATAGAATGGTTTAGGTTGGAAGGGACCTTAGAGATCATCTAGTTCCAATGCCCCATGCCCCTTCCACCAGCCCAGGTTGCTCAAAGCCCCGTCCAGCCTGGCCTCGAACACTTCCAGGGATGGGGCATCCACAGCTTCTCTGGGCAACCTCTTCCAGTGCCTTACCACCCTCACAGTGAAGAATTTCTTCCTTCTATCTAATCTAAATCAACCCTCTTTCAGTTTAAAACCTTTACCCCTTGGCCTATCGCTATGTGCCCTTGTAAAAAGTCCCCCTCCAGCTTTCTTGCAGGCCCCCTTCAGGCACTGGAAGACTGCTGTAAGGTCTCCCCAGAGCCTTCTCTTCTCCAGGCTGAACAATCCCAACTCCCTCGGAGAGCCCTCTGATCATCTCCACGCCCCTCTTCTGGACTCACTCCAACAGGTCCATGTCCTCCTTATGTTGGGGGCCCCAGAGCTGAACGCAGTACTCCAGGTGGGATCTCGTGAGAGCGGAGTAGAGGGGGAGAATCCCCTCCTTCGACCTGCTGGCTGCGCTTCTTTTGATGCAGCCCAGGATATGGTTGGCCTTCTGGGCTGCAAGTGCATAGTGCTGGGTTGTGCTGAGCTTTTCATCAACCAACACCCCCAAGTCCTTCTCCTCAGCACTGCTCTCAATCCATTCTTTACCCAGGCTGTATTTGTGCTTGGGATTGCCCCGAACCATGTGCAGGACCTTGCACTTGGCCTTGTTGAACTTCATGAGGTTCTCATGGGCCCACCTCTCAAGCCTGCCAAAGTCCCTCTGGATGGCATCCTTTCCCTCCAGCGTGTCGACAGCACCACACAGGTTGATGTTATTGGCAGACTTGCTGAAGGTGCTCTCAATCCCCCATCCATGTCGCTGACAGAGATGTTTAAACGGCGCTAGTCCCAATACCGACCCCTGAGGAACGCCATGCATCACTGCTCTCCACCTGGACATCGAGCTGTTGACCACAACGCTTTGAGCTGAGGTTCCCTTTCCCCAGCAACTTTTGTTTAAAGCCCTCTTCACCAGCTTGGCAAGTCTATGACCGAAGACGCTGATCTTTACACCTGAAGAGACGGTGATGGAGAAGGTGACTGGAAAACAAAACACAAAGGGAAAGGTCCCTCGCTGTTCTTTAAGCACTGGTTTGAAATCAATGCGGATAATGCACTTGGAAGGACTGTCTCATTTACTGGTTTTCAGTAAATTGTTGGGCTCTGCTTCCCAGTGCTAATGTGATAATCATGTCTGTGTGAGGAGCATATACTTAAAAAAAAAAAAGTATAATGTGATAATCATGTCTGTGCGAGGAGCATATACTTAAAAAAAAAGTAAAAAAAAAGAAGTGCAATTCCTTGGAAGCAGCATTTGGATAGTTTAGTCTGGGATGCCCTGAATCCTATACATCGACCGAGAAATATCTGCGGCTGCTGCATATCTCTCCTGGTGGTACAGTGCGTTTTTCAGTTCTCTGTAGCTTATTCCAAAGACACAACAAACTGTACCTAAGCACAATATCCTCCTGCAGAGAGAAATGCCGTCTGCTGCTCGCCCCAGCCCGGCACAGCCTCTCCGGCAAAGCAGAGGTATTTTCTAACCACGGCTCTTCCTTCTTCCCTTACTGTCTTGATTTTTCGCCCCCGGTAGTCAGTGATACACTCCCAGTGATTTCAGTGCCGCTGGATTAGGCTTAGGGTCCAATTATCCTCATTAAAAGTATAAACTAATAATTCATAGTTCAAAGTAGGTTTGCTACGGACAGCACCACTAGGGATTTAGTGCATGACACTGGAGCTGGTGCTTAGGTTTTCTTTTATTAATATTTTTTAACTGGAGGCAGATCTATTTAAATATGCTTTGGGAGAATAATTTTATGGGTAAATATGATCTTTATTAATATTTTCTTTGTTAATTCATTGATGTTAGTAAACAGCTTTGAAGATGAAAGCCCTATATGCAATAAATACTAAGATTATTCCAACTTATTTTAATGTTGCCAGCATTCCAGCTCCATCGTCTTTCATCCAAGAATCTCAAAGTGCTTTCCAAACGTTAATTAATTTCCTCTCGACAGTCCAGGGAGATACCTCTTCTTATCACCCCCCCGTTTCGCAAAGGAGCCATTCTGAGCGCGTTTTTACCCCACGACATGGTCAAAATCAGGTAATGTGGCAGGAGTCTATTTGGGACTAATCCAAAAATTCCTGACTCCCATTCTCCTGTTCTTGCTGCTAGACAGCATTCCCTTCTTGGGAGTGGGGCGTGACACTCACCTGTATGGCGCTTGCCTGCCTTCATCAGATGCTTTTATTGGTTGCTCTTAAAACACAAAAATAGACAATGATAACATGCCACACCCAGGACAGATAAAACTCTTCAAAATCAGGATTATCACAGTTATTAATGGTACCGAGCGGGCTACGGCAAACTTTCAGTATCTTTTAATGTGCAAGAGTAAATCTTAATCAGATGCTGTTTGAGAGTCCTCTTGTAGAGTCGGAATCTGACAATCCATACCCAAAAGACTATTAAAATGGAAACATTTTCTCAAATGCAGCACAGGTGAGGATGTATTGTGGTGGAGAGGGCAAGCGAGCACGAGAGAGCTGAGCTAAACAGCACACACGGCAGCTGAAACATCTTCTAAACCACTCGCCCCAAACCAGAGGCTAAGTTAATGATGAGACAAGAAGCCTGTGTAGAGACAGCGTGACTCCAGCAATCCATGAGAACAATGCAAAGTTCAAAAATAGCAGTATTGACTGGTGGAAAAACAACATACATATAATTTTCAGGTAATTACTACAGTATAATTAGCTCTGTTGTTTTCATATGAGCCATCTGAAATGAACTCTACTTGCTACTAGAACTCAGCTTTATTTACAGTGTTCCCATGACTGAAGTGATTCTTTAGAAATAGCGATTCGCTAAGAAATAAAGATCGCAAGTACTTTGTTCCAGACACCATTTCCACGCCGGCGGGCATAGACCAGCATTTTCTTCGGCATTTCACTCACCTCCACTCTGAGCCACTTCAGGCAAGGTGAGAGCTAAAGAACGGGAGAAGATGAACATGGTCTACTAGACTGTCTACGTTACTTCCATGTGTGGGCTGTAATAGAAATGGTAGGACACGGAGGAGGAAAGACTCAAGCTGTAACCGGCCTCTGTCTTTTTCTAGATCACTGTATTTGCCTGATGCCCCGTGCAAAATGGTTATAAATTAGGATTGTATGAAAATGTCAGTATTTTACACGTACTCTGTGAGTGCAGGAAGAGGGGGTGTGACGTGTAACATCGTAACAAGGGTTTACTCTCAATTAAAGTTCTGGAAAATTTAGCACCATGATTTTTTTTTTCCTTATTAGGAATTATTTAGTATCTGTAGAAAGTAACTTCTTAAGCACTGGGACCTTGCAGTCTTACATAAAATAACTTTTAATTGGAACGAAAGAGTTTGTCACAGATAAAACCTGAGTTTGGTGATGCTATAAGTCTGTACGGCTTAATTAACAGCCTGCCTCACATCTTGGAAGATATTTTGGAAATAGATGTAGCTTTCGGCGGTTTTCTGTCCTCGCGTTTCAATAGTTCTTGGCAAGTTTTAAGCCTCTGAACCATCTGACTCTCTAGGTATTTCTTGGCTTTGGTAGGGCACCGCGCGCTTCACAGCTCACTGTGGGTCATCGATGGCCTGTTGCAGTTGCTTTTTACTCTTTCTTCGTGTGCTAAGGGGTGCTAATGGAAAAAAAAAAATCTCAATTGTGATTCAGCAAAATGGAATTTTGTTGACAAAAAAAATCTGGATTCAACTTAACCAAAGGAAATGCTTTTATAAGTGTAGATGAATATCTCAGGAATGACCATTTCTTCTAGAGAAAAACCCTATTCTTGTTTTAATTAAAAAAAAAATATATGTAATAATTCAAATAAAAGCCCAGAGAAAAGTGAACAAAGGGATATACAGAGCTAGATCCATTCAACAGTGGCGTTTTTCCTGGGGTAAATGTTACAGAAGTTAAATGAAATGCGGCAAGGCCAGTAGGATGCTGTTACCATCTTAGCTCGGGCTGCCTTTAACACGTACGCCTCATTTCAGGGCAGATGCAGTTCCCTATGACAGAAAACTCCTCTGGTGTAAACGAGCTTTGCTGTTGAGACTTCTGTGGTTATGTATAAAATGAAACAAGGCATTTTGCATGACAACCCTGTGGCTGGTTCGGAGGTAACCCAGGCACTTTTCTTTTCCTGCACCTGTACTCTATGAAGGTGCAAAACCTGAAAAGCGCCGGGCAGAAAGCAAACGATCGCTGCGACCCGCAGGCTGCGTGGCCGGGCAGGCTGATCTTTGGGGGAGACAAGTCAGAAGGCCTTCTCCTGTTCTTCCTCACCTTAAAATGTAGTCTCCGTTTGACACGACTGATACTTCATTTGACTCAGTCCAAATATAGAATAGCTTAATTATGAAGGACAGGCCTTAAGAACATTAGCGAAGTGCTGTGAGCAAGCACATATATCCATTGATATTGGAGCGGAAAAGGCTAAGCAAATAGTTTTAAAGAATGGGCTAATTGTTGTGCCTATTACTATTGTCTTGCAGCTGCAAGGCTTTGTATAGCAGTAAAGTACATAGGGAGCTGAGCTTGACTTGGAATGTGTAATTCCAGGCAGGGAATACAATATACAGGGCATTCGAATATCAAGGAGCGCAATTAAAATTTGTAAAGATCTGCAAAAATTGCGATGGGGAAAGGCTTTGTACCATGGCCATGGTAGGCTGGGAGTACTTGGTGGTGTAGACCGCACTCATATGTGTAGAGCAGTAAGGCAAGTTGATATTTAAGAACTGAAAAAACAGGAAATACGCAAATGAAGCTGGGATGTGTCACGCTGTAACGCTGCATATGTAATTAAAGATTATAGTAACTCATTTACATGTGCTTTCCATATTGCAATACCATTGTTATACCAAGAGATCTAAGGATATACAATAGGTGACATTAACAAAA